AGACCAGAAATGTGGTCAAGCACCCAATTTCCGGACTTCTTAGTGCATTTACCAAACTGATAGCATTCATTTTAATCTCTTGCTGCAATAAACCACACCTACGGAAGACCATTTCTGTCTCTAAGTCCATCAGTGTGCGTTTCAGGGTGTAATTTCCTCCCGCACATGCTGTCATTAGGCAAAGTGCAGGTTACGGGTGAGCCGGCGCTAACAGGGACCAGCTGCTCCGTAAATGCCAAATGTGCAGCTTTCCCTTCGTGTGCCGTGCACTCGCGGCTCCTTCTGAAGAGTCACCCCAGTGCAGTGCCGGGGGCGGTGGGGGGGGGGGCACTGCTGGGTCTGGTTCGGCTCCACCAGGCGCAGACGAAGAAATGAAGTCCAGAGAGATGAAGTGATTCCCCTCATGAGTCTGGGGGAAAGAAGGCAGGAGACCCCAGCCTCCTGGGTGCCACCGTGGCTCTTTCCAAAGGACACCCGTGCAGGACTTTGCAGAAATGCTTCGATGAGGTTGGCCTCAGGGACCGGAGCTGCATTGCAGTGTGGATGTGTCATCCTCATTCTCAGTAAACTGCTTTTTTGCTACAGCGCATTTCACAATTTTATATTTCACACTCTTGTCACCCTCCTGTGTCCCCGCGGCCAGCTAACTGCTGCCACAGCACTTGGCCCATCACTCGGGATTTTGCAATGAACTCAATTGGCCGCTTCTGAAGTCCCTGCTGTGTTTACCGGACCCCCGGCTCCTGCCTGCCTTGTTGTGACTTTCCTTTATTTTGACACCTTTGCTCACACACACCATTTAATCAGAGTGAACAAAAATGCGAACTGAAATGTACGCCAGTGTCGGCCAAGTTTAAAGACACTTTTTGGTTCTTACAAGGCTGGGCTTGCAACATCTTCTTTTGCAAAACCACCTCTTTCTGGTGTTTTCCTGGGTCTTCTGGAAATGCTTTGAAATGTATTCAGGCCATCAGCTGCTTTTGTCTGGGGAAATCATGTAGTCAGTGTAGAGATCTAATTTCTTAGCTTGAGCAACAGTCATTTAATAGGAAACATTTCAACGCCTCGCCTCATACTTTAAAGCCCCCATGCTTCTACGGGGGAGTGTCATTTGGCCATCATCTATTACCCAATTTCCTACAAAAAATAGTTTTTGAATAATAAGGCCAAGCAAGCTAATGGAACGGCTGCCAGTCGAACCATGTGGCAGGAGCTGGGTTAGGCGGCGTGGAAATTTTAAACCCTCGCAATGTCTGGGTTGTGGCTGGGATCGAGGCGGGGGGCAAGCAGGGGAGGTGGGAGCTTGGTAGAGGAAGGAATCCAGAGGAGTCGTGAGGACCTGGTGATTGGGGAAAGGCCAATGGGAAAACGGACAAATGAGAAGAAAATACAAAAGAAGAATACAGGTCAACACACCAGGAGAAAGGGGACAGAGCAGGGAAGGGCAGGAGAGAGCCCAGTGACTGGAAGTGGCATAAAGTGTACAAAGAAAACAAAGAGAACAAGGGTGAAAGAAATACCATTCCAGGAAGTTTCTGCCTAAACATTCAATGACTCACTAGGTCAAAGCGAAATACCAGCATAAATCGCATGCTGCCGGGTGTGGGCAGGCCTCCCCTGGGTGACAGGCCAGGCCAGTCGGTGCCACGCGACCTCCCTCTTTAAAGCCCGACCTGAAAACAAAACAAAACTAGAATCTACGGATTTCTAGAAATTGTTTTCCCTCGTGTTCGGAGGGTTAAAAACGTGGACACCAGACCCTCGGTAAGCACAGCGTGGTGGGAAGACTGTGGCCCTGGGCTCTGGGGCCCCGGCGGCGGCCAAAGCCTTTTCGGCTACGGAAGGTTTCCCCGCAAAGAAATCCAGAATTCGGTATCTAGAACGGACACGCGGGAGCTGTCCACGCGGGGCCACCGGGCAGGGGCCTGCCTTCCAGCCTCTGCTGGCTGCTTCCCTGGGCAGCTCTGCAGAACTTGGTCAGGGGGCACAGCCTGTCTAGTGCCCAGCTCGCCAAGGCTCAGGGTCTTTTCTTTTTTGAACCAATTGCCTGCCAACACTGGAAAAAAACAGGATATTTTACCAAAAAACCAGTAACAACAAAAAAACAACTAAATGTCTACTCGCTTTTGAAAAACTGGAGCGTGGGGCCCTGTCACTGTGTCCCCGGCTGCAACAACCCACGAGCGCGGAAGCACAATTTGTGGCTCTCCGGCTGCCACAGGCCACACGCACCTAACTGAATTCTCACCAGGCATCCGAGGTTGCAGCCACCCGTCCCCGGAGAGGCCCCGAGAAAGGACCTCGGGACACACATAGCTGCTTAGGTATCTTCCGGCTTCCAGCTCTACGTGTTCTGCAAAGGACCTTTCCGTCTCAGGAAGGAGAGGCCACGTTCGTGGCCATTCTGCTCTCCTTATATTTGCTCAAACACAAAGGATGTTGGGAGTGTAATGAGATGAGGCTGAATGTGGTCAACTGTCTTCTGCCCGTAGCTGCTATCACAGACCCTGCCTCCTCCTCCCTGGCACCCCCCACCCAAAGTACGGAGAGACTGAGAACCTCAGTCTTCAACCAGAACCGTCTTCCCCCTCCTCCCAGAGACCTGGTCACAGCCTCGCTCTACAGTCAGGCACATGCTGATGTCTTTCTAGAAGCTTCCCCACCTGCCCTAATTTGTTTCCAATGTCTTAGGTTCTATGCTTCACTTACTTATGTTCACCGGCAAGTGCCTGCCTATTCTGTGAATGTTCCAGCACCTTATATTGGACCCACCACCTCTGGGTAACCGGGACAGAGTACTGTTCGGTGGTTTACCAATCACCAGGAGGAGCTAAAGAGTTATTTTCTAAGCTGGTATCTCCGACATCTTTTACACTTCATCTGATTTCCAAGTAGGGTGAGGACAGACACCGATGCACACACATGACACGGGCACAAGCTAGAACGCCCCCAAGTTATGCAAGGAGCCTCAGGTTTCAAGATTCAGCATAAAGAACCAGTTTCCGAGTTCAGAGAACTCTACACCCCCACCGTTTCTGGGTGACTCCACGCATGTTATCTACCTTTCTTGAAGCTGTCCTTCTATAAAACCATTTCCTACTCACTCTGCAACAGCTTTGGGATTCTATGAAATTGTTCAGAAAGCAGAACTGTGGAGAGCGTGCTGGAGGTGCGGGGTAGTGGAGGTGCTGCGGGGTGCCTCCCGCCTTCTAGAAGGAGCTAGCTGTACTTCTATCCCTGAGAAGGCAGCGGCTTAAGGATTTGGCTTTCCCTTCATCGGCGGGAGGGTTTCGAACTGCAACGGGCATTGCCAGGGTTTGGAGAAAGGAAACAATAGTAACCAATGAGAAAAGTGGAAATGACCAACCAAAATCCAGACTCACTTTCGTCAGCAGAGTCAACTCTCCGGAGTAAGTCTACTAGAGGGACAGACTCAAAAGCCGTCGAGGGAGGTGCTTCTTGAATTGGGGAGCCCCTGGGACGGTGGGTCTGGGCAGGCTGTTAACACCCGTGTTGCACGTCTAAATTGTCCGGGCCTTGCTGGTAAGTGTACACTTGACCAGGCGAGCTGTGAGCAAGCGTGTGCTCTGAACCACAGCCCTGTCCTTGCAGAGCGGTTGGAAACGTGAGGCTTTCCCCAGACCCGGTGGTGGGTGATCGACCCGGTTCAGCATCGCCCTTTGGGTGCCCGTGGCTGTGACGTGAGAGCGGGGGAGCCGGGGTGGGGTGGGGGTTCGGCCTACTCTTCTCTTTACTTCGGGGTTTGGTTCCAATTTTTCTTCCTAAAACAGTATGTCATCGGGACGAGGGTGGGAGGTCACAGAGGCCCTGCGTCCGGCTCCGGCACAGCCCCAGCAGGGCCCGAGGTCCTTCCCACCCGCCACGCCCCCCACTTGGGCAGGTCCGTGCGCCACCGTGAGGAACATGGCTGCCTCGCAGGGCAGACCCCCCCACCTCGTTCGTAACCGCGCTCTGGGCGCCACGTGCCTTCACAGCCGTCAGCGCGACGCCTGAGCAGCGCGCGGCGCCCCTTCTGCCGCCCCCTCGCGCCCCGCACGCGGCCCGGGAATCTGGGCGACGAGACCACCGCCTCCGAGAAGGGGCAGAAAATGACGCGCGCGCCGCGGGCTCCGGGACCCCCGGGAGACGCCCCCGCGGCGGCCGGACCTCGCTCCCCGGGCGCCTGACGCACGCACCCCGCCTGCGCCCTCCTCGCCCCGTCGTGCGGGGGGCGGGGTGCGCGCCGCGCTGTCCCCCCCGCGGCCGTCGCGCTCCCCGGAGACGCGCGGGGGCACTGTCGCCGCCGCCTGCGCAGCGCCCCCCGCCGGCCCCGCCGCGAGCTGGCCGCCCGCCAGCGCCGCCCTCGCCCCCGCCCGCCCCCGGTGCGCGCCACGCCCGCGCCCCTCCCCAGCCCCGGCCCGGGTGCGGTCGGCAACAGGTAGCCGGGCCGCTGCGTGCTCGGGGAGACAAAAAGCGCCGTTGGGAGCGAGCGCGGATCGCCAGGGGGCGAAGGCGGCGGTGGGAGAGCCGGACGGCTGGGGGGGGGGGGGCTCGGGGGCTCGGGCCCCTCCCCAGAGCCCCCCTGCCCCCGGGAGAGCCGGCCGTTGCGCAACGCCGGGGCCGGGCGCGGGGCGCGGGTCCTCGCGGCGCTCGGGCGGCGGCGCTGGCCCCGGCGCGGGGAGGGACGCGGCCGGCCGGGCGGGGGAGCGGGCGCGGGGAGGGGCGGCGCGGGGCGGGGCGGGGGCGGGGCCGCGGAGAGCCCGCCCCCGCCGGCCGCGGCCATTGGCGGCGGGCCGGGGGCGGGTGCGGGCGCGGCGATTGGGGCCGCGGCCGCCCGTCACCGCGAGGCTGGCGGGCGGCGACGTAGCGCGGCGCTCGGAACTGACCTACTAACACACATCTCCCGGCGCGGCCACGGCGCCCGCGGACCCGGCGCGCCGCCCGCCTCCCGCGCCGCGCCCTCGCCGCCGCCCGCCCGCCCGCCGCCCCGGAGCCCCGGCCCGAGCCCCGCGCGCCCCGGGGACCCCCCCCTCCCGCACCCGCTCCCGGCCGCCCGGGCGCCCCGCCGTCCCGGGCGCAGGAACACGGTAAGCGCTCCGCCCACCGCCGCCGGCCGGGCCCGGCGCCCCGCTCGCCCCGCTCGCCCCGCTCTCCCCGCCCGCTGCCGGGGGCGCGCGGCCGGCGGCGGCGGCGGGTGTGCGCGGGGCGTTCGTTACATAAACTTTTGCCGCCGAGTCGGGAGGGGGCCTCGCCACCGTCAGGGGCCGCTTTGATTGCAGCGCCCCGGCGCCGCTCTCCCCCCGCGCCGCTGTTGCATAATGTCTCCTGATTTCGGGAGAGCGGGTGTTTCGGTGGCGCCGAGCGCCGGGGAGGCTGAGCCCTGCCGGGCGGGAAGCGCCGCGCCCGCTCGCCCCTGCCTCGCCCCTGCTGCGGGCCGGGCGGCGGGGTGTGTGCGGGGGGCGCTCGGGGGGCGGCCGGGGGGCCAGCGTGAACGCGACGAGCCTCGGTTTCCTTGTTGAGGGAGAGCGCCGGTGGCGTGAACCGCGACGGCATTCGGGGAATGCGTGCGCCGCGTTTGTTTGTGTCGGGGGCCGCGTCTGCACCGACGTCTTCCAGCCGGGTTGTCGTCAGCGCGCGTGAGCGGCGCCGGAGAAGGTGGTAGGGTTTGTCCTTGCGCGGATTGCATAACCTGCCCGCGGTGAGATACCGGCTCGCGTTACGAGCCCGTGCGGGGGTGTGCGCGTACGTGTGTCGCGATTCGGAAATTGGAGCGCGGCGCTGGAGAGGAGGTCGTTATTGACATCTCTACCGCGTCCCGGATAGAGAGAGATTTTTAAAAAAAAAAAAATAAATAAATAACCACTCCTCCCCCCAAACGTGCAGAGTCCCTCGGGGTGTGCTCCGGTCTTGGATCCTCCCGGGGTCCGCCCCTTAGGTGTTCCGAGCTGTTAGGCGTAAATCTGGGGCGAACCATGGTGGCGTCCACCTCCCCACCTTCGTGATTTTAATGCGTTCCACTCCGTCAGCCCCATTTCTCACCTTATTGTCGTTGCTTTTTCAGACACGACAAGACAGATCACATAATAGTTTCCTGGAAATGTTGCATTATGTAACTGCCGAATTTGCTGGCAGTCAGCATAGGAAGCGGGAGCTAATTACGTGATTTTATAATCTTGCTACAAAGAAAGTAGGACAATGTCAGCCTTTAAAATGTCACTGTCACAGTTTGTTTTTTTTTTTTTTTAAGGATATTTTAAACAGGAAAGTAGTCAACCGGGTAAGGCACCGAGTTAGCTCCTGCAGCTGAATGTGTGTCTTTTGCCCTAAATGAAATGTGCGTCCCTCTAAATTTAGCCCTATCGCGTTTGGACAGTTGTGGCCTCGCAATGCTATTTCTGGTGTTTTCTCCAGGGCTGTGTGCAAATACAAGTTCAAGGCCATTTGCTGTAGTTTTAACTTCACGCCTTGGGAGACCTTTGATAAGACTGTATTTTTAGGAACGCATTTCGCAGAGCCCGGTGATTTGCTGGATGCCGATTCCCATTTATCTTTATAAAGGACACTTAGGAAAGTGCTGTGTTCCCGGAGAACGGCAGGGGATGGCCAAGCGTCATCTTCTGGTCCTGGCTCTTGTAAATAACAACAGCGAATGAGGTCACAAGTATTTATTTCACATCGTGGTTTTTCCCCCCTCCAGACCAGATATGATTTATGGGAAACAGATATAGGTTAGTAGATTGCATTTTCGTGTAGACACCCTAGTTTTTAGTCGAGTGAGGATGTATGAATATATAATGTACCCAGATTTTACATTTCTTCCGGCACTCTGGGGTAGTGTAATTATGTGTGAATATATTTATATGATGGTATATATGTCAGATTTTTTTTTCCTGATGTAACATTTAAATAATTAAAGGGCAGGGTTTGGGGTATTTTTTTGGGGGGGGGCGCGTTACAGAGATTCATCCTTGGAATAAATTATATGACCCCAGATCATATTGCAGTTGCTTTCCAAGAGGCGGATAGCGCTCCAGGCACCCCCCCCCACCCCCCGACCCGCCCCGGTGTCAGACCCCGACCTACTTTGGAGCTCGCGCCCGGAGCCCCGGGCCTGCCGGGGACCGCGCAGCGCCACCTTCCGATCGCGACCTCCGGGGACGCGCCCCTCGCGCCCGCGGGCCCTAGAGGGACCCGGGCGGGGGGCTGGGATGTGGGGGTGGCGCTTGGGGGGGCCTAGGGTCGGGACCCGGGAGCGCCCTAGGCGGCGCTTGGGCGGGAGCCGCACGGCGGCCTGCGCGCCTCCTCCGCGCCCCCTCCCCACATTCCTTTGTTCTGGCGCGGGGGTCCTGGCAGAGCCGAGGCCCCGCTGCGCCGCCCACCCGGCGGGGGCGGGTCCCGGGGAGGCGCGGCGCGGGGGCCGCGGAGGGACCTGGGTCCGGGAGTGCGGGTGCGCCCCGGCTACGCGGGGCGGAGGGAGGGGAGCGGCGCGGGGCCGCGGCGGGTGCGGAGCGGAGCTGGGGAGCAGCCAGGGGCCCCCGGGGCGCGGCGCGAGGGGCGGGCAGGCCGGCGGCCCGGCAGCTCTGGCGGCCTGCCCCCTGCCTTCCCCCCGAGATACCTTTGTTCCTGGAGCTTCATTGTGTTTTGGAGCCGGAGCCAAGTGCTTCTGGATTCGTGAAGTGAGAAGGACCTAGAAACCCTCCAAATGTCAAGAGACCGCAGGCCCTGGGGGTGGGGGCGCTCCAGCAGGGGTGGTGGCGGTGGAAAGGAGCGCCCCGGCCTGACTGTGGCTAGTCGAGTGTGTGTGTGTGTGTGTGTGTGTGTGTGCGCGCGCGCGCTTTTTTTGAACCTTTACTTCTTGCGGTCAAAGGCTAGAGAAGAAAGAACTTGAATCCCCTGAGTTCAAAATAAAAGAGAAATCAGCACGCCCACGCAGACGGCGCGGTGCTGCTGTAAGACTGAGTACAGTGCTCTGGTCCCGGCGCAGGGGCCTCTGGGGTTTGCGAGGCCGGGGCGGCATCACAGGTGCTCGCCGGCAGTCAGCTCTCCTGAAAAGTTTCTTCTGTGGGATCACACCCTGCATCCCCGCCCCCAGTTTCTCTCCCGAGCTCCAAGGCCACTGTCAGTAGGGGGGGCGGCGGCTTTGGCAAAGCGCTGTGTGCAGGCCCAGAAGAGCTGGGTCCGCAAGCCCCCAGCCTGTGATTTTGGGAGCTGCTGGGATCTCATGGGTGTCCGGGGTAAACGGAGGAAATGCAGCCTGTCCGGTGGGTACTTGCGAGGAGCTCCGCTTTCTTCCGTGCAGCTGACCAGAAACCAGATTGTTTTGTTTGGTTGAATAAAGGTATTCACCTGAGTTTATTCTCTGCCTGAATCTCCTTCTGATAATAGTAAGGACTGAACTTCAAGTCTGTAATTAAAGACCCTTCTTGGAATAGGTTTTCTAACAATGTTGGTTCCCCCCCACCCCCCAAAACTGTGTGCCGTTGCGTTCAGTGCTGATTTAAGTTTGAAGGAATTCTTGATGGTATTGCAGAGCCACCCAAGTCATTGGGTTAATGTTTTGGGGAAGTGTTAGAAGGAACACAGAGGTGAGATGGGGGGGGGGGGGCGCGGGGAGAATGATGTAAAGAGTGCCACACAGCGTGGCTTTTTCCACTTCCCTTGACCTCTCTCTGTGACGGTTTTCCTTGGCCTGGACCGTCCACTTCTGGACTTCTGTGGTCTGAGACCAGCCAAGGCTGGTGGGACCCCACAGATGAGACGTCCAGGAAGGACTGTGTGCAGCCTGCGCGGCTGAGAACCAGGGCCGGTCCCCGTGACTCTGCTGACACTCCGCCCTTTTGATTAATGCCGAGGATTTCGCCCGATCGACACAGGGCAGATCATGCGAGAATGCAACAGCCTGGAAGTCCTCATTCTCCTCGTGGCCCTGTTGCTGCTCACTCCTCAGAAATGGAATTAAGAGCGAATCCTTCCTAGACCCTACCCCTGCATGGGCCTGGTCCCTGTGCTCTGCTCCGTCGCTGTCCCCATTTTATAGGTGAGCGAGTGGAGGCGCAGAGCCCAGACCAACAGCCTGCGCACGGGCTGGTCTCTCTTCCTCCCCAGAGTACGAGTGCAAGCTCACTGTAGTTTTTGAAACAATTTCCTTTTCTGTGTTAAAGGCTTATCTTTGCGAAGGGGCAATTATAACATCGGTGTGATGCAACAGCCTGAAAATTAAAAACCCTTTGTTAGAGCGCTTTCCCGTGTTGAGCAACCGCCTGACTCACCGGCCCAGTGGATGTTTCTAGTTGACCTTGCCTTGGTCCGTAGTCAGTTCCGAGACGCGAATGCGATCGGGGCATGGAATGGAAAAGGTGCGGTCATAGAGCCTCGGCTTTATTTTTACCCGTGCTAAAATCACACATACTTCATTATTTCCATTGTAATCCAGATGGCAGCGATGGTGTGAGGAGTTGTTTATTTTTAATTCGTATTGAGGGAATGAGAGCAGCTTGGGATTCGGTTCAAAATATGACAGAAACAATGTAACCGAAGTTTCCTTTAATATGTGTTTCTGGGTTTTGTTAAGGTATGCCGGTGTTTCACAGCATCAACGCATTGTTTGATATCCTGTTGTTCTCCTAAATTATATTTGAGTTGATTTTTATCCAGATCGGACTCTTTGAGAATGTCGAAAGATGTTGACCTTTGATCGCAGACATTACATAAGAGCTTTTCAGTTTCAAAATGAATCTGTATTACCACTAACCCCAATTACCTCTCATATTTCTTTGCAAATACCTTTCCTGTAGTTTAAAAAAAATACTGTTTCAAAAAAAATACTGTTTTTCATATGGTTTTAATTAGAGAGCTTAAGCTTGTTTTTATGATAAGAGAGTTTAGTAGGGATTTTCTGGATGCCATTCATAATAATCTGTGTTTTGAGGATTCAGTTTCTTTGGAATCAGAATGATCTTTGTATTATAAGGCTCTTAGTTATCAGAACATGGTGTCTTTTATCAATCAATGCTTAAAAAGGATCTGAAACTGCAGTTAAGTAGCCTTCAAGTAAACACTAAAACACTTCAAAAAATCTGTCCTATTC